ACACACACACACACACACACACACACACACACACACACACACACACACACACACACACAGGGGAAGGGTTTGGATTGTCATTGTCCACACATCTCACCTCAGAGGAAAACCTAAACCTTCTGTTTTTCTACAAAGGGAAATCACTTCATGGTGGAGGTGTGAAGAACTTGCCTTTTTTTTCTGTGGAGGGTTGCTGGTGTGTGGGGGTGTGCTGCAGTCTGTGTAGCCTGCTCCATAATGAGGCTCTGCAAACGGTGACACAGACCCCAGGTCTCCAACCAGGCCCTGGCTGGAGCAGTGGAACGAGTCTGCAGGCGAGAAGCCTCCGTCCAGATGTGGGGGGCGCCGGTCGGGGCCCACAGGATTCCCCAGGTTTGCGTTGAGGGGGGAGCAGGTGTATATGAGGTTGAACTCTGTCCTGAAGACCTGCTCTTTGTTCTGTGTGTCTGAGGCCAGGTCCGACCCCCCCACAGACGACTGGCCCTGCGAGTCCTGGCCTGAAACCACCCCGGGAAGAGAGAAGTCATCTGAGGTAACGGCCACAGGACTCTCCATGCTGGAGGGGAGGGACAGGTCCAGGAACTGAGGCTTCGAGGGATCAAAGTCAACCTGAGGAGAACAAAGACAGGAGCTCACAGTGACTAACCAGGTTTGAGCCAAAAATCAGCAGAACATCAGCTGAAGATCAGCAAAATATCAGCCGAACATCAGCAGAACTTCAGCCGAACATCAGCAAAATATCAGCAGAAGATCAGCCGAACATCAGCAGAAGATCAGCTGAACTTCAGCAGAATATCAGCAGAATATCAGCTCCTGGTCTTCTGAAGGTTCTAAGTGGGAACCTACCTCTGGAGAGATGGACTCCTGCCGGTGTACCGGAGACGCTTCAGGGGACGAGATGTTCTACAGACAGAAACAGAACACACTATCTGAGCAAAGGATCAAATCCAACATCTGTACAGGTTTTTACCTGATCAACAATGATTATTAAAGTGGAACAAATATGCAAAATTCACTTTTTTCAGGTTTTTTTTAACTTACATTTGGGTCTGTACTGCTTCTAAAACAGTACAAGCACCAAAAAAATGCAGTCAGAGGTATTTTTTTTTTACTATAAGTAAATGTATTTTTCTGTGTCTTGAAATGACCTGTTTTCAAACACCGCTACTTGTGATGTCACAAGTCGCACTCCAGCCCACCCCAACCTGAGCCCAGCTCTCTCCTGGTAA